CAGGGGCCTGTGAGGAGCAGCCTGTCACCAGGGGGGACCGTCTTGGCGTGGGGACGAGGGAGCCGTGTGCAGCCCTGTGGTCTGGCCTTCAYGGGGTCGGAGGCCCTGGCCAGCCTCAGGGGGGAAACAGGCTTTAGAAAGAAAGGTGTGGGGTTCGGCAGCCCCTGTGCCCCCACGTCCCCCACCTGGGAGTCTGCAGCGCCCTGTGGCCTGCCCCCAGATCACAGTGACTTGCAGCCACCTCTTGATGTTCCTGCGGCCACTCGACTCAGGAAGCAGAGCKTGTGGCCACAGGTGAGCTGAGGAGGAGGCCGGCCGCCTGTGCCTCTCGGAGCTCATTCCTGCAGGACTGTTTGTTTTTCAGTCCAGGAACACTTGGGGAATCTCTTGGATTCTGGAAGCAACTTTGGCAGCACAGGAAAGAAAATGTAAGTGTAGCTGCTCACACAGCAGGGAGCKGCCTCCTGCTGACATGGAAGGGTCTGGGGCTGGCCGCGCAGCGTGGGCCTGGAGACTCCAAGGTTCTCAGAGACTCGGGCCCTCGCCTTTCTGCTCCTTCACCTTGGAATTTGGCTTCCATCTTCAAGGTCTCCTTGTTCTTCAGAATGGCTTCTGGGGCTCCAGCTATCACAACTGCATTCCAGGCCACAGACAGGAGGAAGCACAAAGGCAACGAGGCTGGGCCTTTGTGTTCAAAGAGCCCTGGCCTCATCCCGTGCAGCAGCCACAGCTGATTACCGAGCTGCGTGATCTCGCCAAGGAGCCCGGGCGCACAGGCTGGATCAAGGAGGGTCTGACCGTGTTCTGCGAGAGGGTGAATAAATGTGGGGCAGCACTGGGGACGCGCAGGGCCCTGAAGCTGCTTCTCCACACCTGCAGACCAGGGGACCTGGGGATGGGCCACTGACAGCTGTCACCAGGAGGCCACAGGAGCCTGGCCATGCTTTCCCCCAGCCCTGAAAAGTAAAGATGGGGCCRGAGGAGGAGGAGGGCGCAGGTGTGACGGCATCAACTGCACTGGAAGTGAAGAGCGAGGGCCGGCACCGCTGCAGCACCTGGCGAGGTGTGTCCTGTCACTGGTGACCCCTGAGCCATGAGGAGCTGGTCACAGGCAAACCTGGGCAGGGACACTGAGTTCAAGAGTCCTGTGGCAGACACAGCCCTGCCGGGGATCTGGAGATGGGTGGCAGGACCTAGGGAGTGAAGGGAGGAGAGTGGCAGAGACGGGGCAGAGGGGACGTGGGGACATCACGTGGCCCTGGCCGGCCTGGTGAGAGGGTCTGGATTTCCGTGCAGGGATGATGGAAAGTCACCAAGATGCTCCAGTGGGTGGCAAACCCCAGGGTCCTGGTCACCGCTGGCCTCCACCACTTTCCCAAGGAGGCCCCGCCACCGGACACCAATTGTTTACCTGTAGTTTCAAGAAAACAGACCTCCGCGTCGTCTCGGTGGTCATCCATCAAAACCGGCACCTCCCCTGCCACCGGGTTTGGGCCACCGGGGTCTGCCTCACGGGGAGCGCCCTCACGGCTCCCCGCGCTCCAGGCCTCAAACGTGAAGCAGACATGAACCCTCCCAGCAGCGGCAGACGGGGTGTGCCCGGCGCCTGCTCTGACCCAGGCCTTTAGAAAAGGGCTGCGGCCCTGAGGCCAGTGCCTGCGCAGCCCCTGTGAGCCCTGAGGCCCAACGCTGCGAGAGACGGGACTTCAACTCAGGCAGCTGCCTCAGCTTTGCCTGGGCCGCCCCCTGCAGGACCGAGGTCGTGGGCAGGCCAGCTTACTGTGCTGTGCGTCAACATGTGGAACTTGCACGTTAGACCCATGATCTCACAGCTACTGGGAATCGAAGGGGCTTTTTTAACATCACTTTAAAGAAAAAGAGCGAATAACAGCGTAGCTGGTACGTGGGAGCCCCCCAGGCCGTCAGGAGCCGGGGGGCATTGAGCGTCCCCGGAGACCGGAGACCGGCTTCTGGCAGGGTGTGGTCTGGGGCTGGATTTAAGTCCCATGGGTGGGGGAGGGGCCCAGGCCGTCYGTCACAGAGAGAGGTGTCAGGGTGACCTCACCCCTGGCCCAGCGAGTGGGAAGGCTCAGTCACGGAAAGAAGCCGGTCTGTTTTTCTCTGCGTGTCCCCAGGTTTGTGTTGGACAGAGTCCGTTGGGGCTGGAGGCCCGGCCACGGGTGAGACATGAAGAACTGGCCTTTTGAGTTCTTGTGGCAGGTCTCTCCCTGCCACCCGCTGGCCATCCGCGTGGGGATTAGATCATGTGTGTGTGGCAGATGTGGCCTTGTGGTGGCTGAGGCACTTTGAGTAAAGCAGATGACGTCCCCGGGCGAGGCCCAGCACGGGGCACTTCTCAGGTGCAGAGACCAGGGTCCCTCGGGCACTGCTGAATGTGCCTTCATCCGGGTGACAGGCCCCTCTCTCCGCAGGGCTGGCTCGGGCAGGGGGAGTGTGGGAGAGGGAACAGCCTGCCAGGCACGAAGGGGACGGAAGCCAGTGGACCAGGGTTCCGGGTCCACTAAAATAACCAGCAGGTCCACCGTGTGGGGCCCCACCAGGGTGCACCCCAGTGCCACCTCCCTGGGGCCCTCAGTGGGGCCTCCCCAGCATCTCCGCAGGAGGGTCTGGTGGGTGGTGGGACATCTTCTGTCCCCATGTGGTCTCCGGGGGGTGAGAGGCCGAGCGCCCGCTGCCAGCCGCTGCATCCTTTTTCCTGAGGTCGTGAACCAGGTGCCCCAAACCCGTGCACCCAAGAAATAGCCACTGAGTAGCCACTGAGCTCCCAGCACTCTCCAGCTGGGGGCAGAGCTGTGGAACAGCCCATGACCCTGGCTCTGATGTTCGAGCTCTTTCCAGGCAACAAACAAGGTGAACAGATTAATCTGGGAAAGTAGGGCACTTGACTGTAAGGGAAGAAGTTCTGTCCCGGGGCCACAGGTCCTCCCAGGGACCCAAGGGGCCCCAGCTGTGACTGAGGGCCACTAGGAGTCACCCCCGCCCAGGGGCAGGGGGTGTGGCTTCACCAGGCTCCTGTAACCAGCTGATGCTGCTCAGCACAAGCAAATGAAGCCTCCCGGCTGGGGTAGGGCAGAGCCCTGGGCCTCGCCAACCTCAGCCCCACTTCAGGCTGCTGAGTAGCACCAGGGGCTCAGGTGGCCCTCCGGAAGYCCCCTCCTCCAGCCCCTGCAGCCAGAGGCTCCACACCTAGAGCAGACCCTATAATTGCCCACCAGTCAGAGCTGGAGGGCACCAACAGCTTGAGACCTGAATGATGGGCTTGGCCAACTGAAGCCGAGTCTTAGAAAGAGAAGCCTGGACAGAGGTGACGGCCAGTGCAAAGATCCTGGGGCAGGATGGAGCCTGCAGCACTTAAGAAATGTCCAGGTGGCCAATGTCGGCAAAGCAAGGTGAACAAGAGGGGGTCAGGGAAAGAGGAAGGCAAGTGGGGTCACAAGGGGTCTTCCAGGCCCTAGGAGGGGATCTGGGCCATCTGAGTGCAGTGGCAAGCCACCGGAGGGTTGGCAGGCCGAGCTCTGGAGAGCAGCGATATTATCTGTTGGCCTGGGGAGGCCTGGCTCTGTGCCTTCCCCATCTGGCAGAGAGACCGGGCAAAGAGGCCTAAATCGCCTCCCCACTCGAGCCCTGAGGGCGGCCTCACACCTCTTGTCCCATCTCTAAGGAGGTGCTGGGTTCACGCTCTCTCTAGGGCCCGAGGCTCCAAGCCATAGACYCTGCTGGCTCCAATGCTGTCCTAAGGAATGGCCGAGGCGGGGGTAGTCCTCCCGGCTCAGAGCCTGCCCTGTGTCTGTGACTTTGACTTCTGTCTCCTACGCGGACGCCTGGGTTGGACTTGGCACCCCCCTGGGGGGGCCAGATCAGCTCACCTCCAGGCCTGGGACTTTTTCCAAATGAGATCACACAGATTCCAGGAGTTAGGCTTGACCTGGGGTCACCGTTCAACCCACCATAGACCTAAGAGCTACAGGGGTGGCCATAGGAGGAGAAAAGGGATTTGTGCGGACTGTTCCCTCCAGGTCTGCTCAGTGGGTGTAGCCATAGCGTCCCCTCATCATGCAGCTGTTGAGCACCTGCTGTGTCCCCCGACGGTGGCTGTGCTGGGGACCTAGCCTTGGGCAGAGCAATGGCTTTTGCCCACGTTCATCCCCTTCCTTCCTAAGTACCTGACTCTGCKTCCAGCCTCGTGGGGAAACGGGAGTAGGCACGGGGCATCCACTGCCCAGGGTATGTGATGGGTCCTGGCAGCACGTGCTCCGGATGAGCGCTCGGAGGACAGAGGCTGCGGCTCCAGAGGAGGTGCAGCCGGACAGATGGGTTAGATCTGGGCAGAGAAGGAGGGTGAGTTCCAAGTGGACCAAGGAGGAGTCAGCACCACTACTGCTGAGCATTTTGGCGGAGACATACTCAGGGAGTTTGGCCAAGGGTTGGCAGGACCGGATTTCAATAAGTGTGAACAATTCTTGGGGAAATTCCAAGCCAAGCAAAATACCATCTTTCCCCTGTTTACATGGTGGTTGCTTTCAAAAAAATAGAGTCAGTATATACCAATACCCTGAAAAACAGCCACCAAAAAAAAAAAAAAAAAAAGCTCCTATGTAAAACATTGCGATTCTGAGATCTTTTAAAACAGGTTTCCACTTAGCCGACGTGAACGTCTAGTAGGTCTGGGGACAGAGACTTTGGTTTGCTTGTTCATTTGCAGTCCTGGGGGTGAACCCCGGGCCTTGCATGGGTGAGCAAGCTCCACCACTGAGCTACACCCCCCCCAACTTTTTATTTTGAGGCAGGGTCTTGCTAAGCTGCCCACGCTGGCGGGGCCCCTGGGGTCCTCCTGCCTCAGCCTCCAGAGTAGCTGGGATCACAGGTGCGCCCAGCTGGACCCAGGATATTCCCCCCTGCCCCTGTGGATTCCCTGTGGTGCCCTTGGAGCATGGGGCGGGGTGGCAGTCCCCCCAGCGGTCTCTCTGTGCCCTCTGCAGGCTCCATGCAGGTGATGAACAAGACGCGGCGCCTCATGGAGCAGGGCGGCGCGCACTTCGTCAACGCCTTCGTGACGACGCCCATGTGCTGCCCATCGCGCTCCTCCATCCTCACGGGCAAGTACGTGCACAACCACAACACCTACACCAACAACGAGAACTGCTCCTCGCCCTCCTGGCAGGCGCAGCACGAGGGCCGCACCTTCGCCGTGTACCTCAACAGCACGGGCTACCGGACAGGTGAGCGCGGGTCGCCCGGGTCGCACACCCAACCGCTTTCCTTCCATTTCAAAGTTGTGCGCTTATTTCTGTGTGTAGAAATCAGAAACGTGCAGACCTGTCATAGTAGGGATATAAAGGGACCTTTTCAAAAAAGTTGAGTTCTTAAAAAAAAAAACAAACCCGGCTGCAGACAGAGCTCAGTTGGTGGAGTGGACACCTCGCATGCACAAGGCCCTGGGGCCGGGAAAAACATCMGTTTAAAATATTGAATTCCAGGGAGACCACAGAGTCCCAGGCCCGAGTTTGTTTTCTGGTAACTTTTTAAAGCCATGGGGTGGGGGAACGGCTTGACACGGGGAGATTTGCAGAGATGCAGGATCTGGGGCTCTGCATGGGGGCCACCCGGATGGCTCAGGTTCCCCTGGTGCTGGGCMTTTCATCCACAGCTACCCAGGGAGGGTCCCCCTTTCGGCAGGGCAGAGTGCCCCCGGCCACCACCAGGATCCTGTTTATCTTGCYGGAGGGACTGTGAGTTCCAGAGGCGCCTCTGCTGGGCGGCTGCCGAGATAGGGGTGTTCTTAAGCACAGCCGCTCRCTCCAGCCCCCTTGCAAAATCCTCCAAACTCAATCAATTTCACTCGCTTTAAAAAATAAATAAATACGCCCCACCATGGGCCAAGGGCCAAGGCAGCTGTGAAACCAGATGTTGTGGCCCAAGTGTTGCAACCCGGGAGAGCTGCATCCAAGTGGCTAGAGGTTGGTTTGGGTGGGAGGGACSGGAGGGAAGGACAGCCTGAGGTGGGGCAGCGTCTTCTGATCCACAGTGTGGGCTGGCGGGCACTGGAGCAGCCAGGAAGCCGGGGTCGTTTCCTGCACGCTCAGCCCGCCACCAGAATCACCTAGAAAGTGGGGCAGCTGCAGAACCAGGAAGGCCAGCTCCCTCCTCCGGCCGTGCATCCTGGGTGCCGGTGTGTGAGCAGAACCCCTTTGGTTTCTGGGTCTCTGCAGAAGGCTGTGCATGGCCAAGGTCACCTGGGCTACCCCTTCAGATAATGAGGGGCCTGGCCTTGCTGGTGGAGGCAGGTAGGTGGGCCACCGCAAGGCCTCAGGCCCTGAGGAAAGGAGGCATCTGCCACTCAGGTCCACAAATTATAGCTATTTCTGTGCAGAGTCACTGAACTGCAAATATTTTTACATTTGAATTTTTAGCTAAAATCTTCTGATTAAAAAAAAAATGTTGGCAAAACTCAGTGTTTTAAAAATGCATGCCGTGAGCCAAGGAAAACGGGGACAGGTGTGGCCCACGGCCCCCTTTCATGACCCCTGGCTGCACAAGGCAGGTGAGACCGTTAGCTTTGTGGATGCCAAAAGAACAGTAAAGACCCTGAAAGTGTTCTCTGAGCCCCTCACGTGCGGACCAGGACAGCCGCAGCCCAGAGTCACAACRTGAGGTGCTTGTGCTGCGATCAGGATGGGACCAGGGGCGTGGGAAGCCGGGTGGTGCAGGCGCGGGATCTGACCCATGGAAAGGAAGCTCGCTTTTCTCATGGCATTTGGGGGCTGATGCCAGGGGGAGCCAAAGGCTAGGGGTCGCTAAAGGCTAGGGGTCAAAATCACCCAGGTGACCCTGAACATTCCTTAAAGCTGATGCTGCAAACTTCATCCTTGAACTTACACGAATCACCAAGAATCTGCCTCCCAGAGGACTGACTGGGCCCAGGTGTACTTTGTGGGTACCTGTGTGGTCCTGGGAATGGGACCCAGGGGGCTCTACCACTGAGCCTCACCCCTGGCCCTTTTTATTTTTTTATTTTGAAACAGGGTATCTCACTAAGTTGCTGAGCCTGGTCTTGAACTTGTGATCCTCTGCCTCAGCCTCCCAAGTCTCTGGGATTACAGGTGTGCGCCCCTGCACCTGGCTACCCAGCTCTACCTAATTATTATATCCTCAGTGAAGACAGGAACATGTCAAATATGAATAATAGCCACCCACATAGAACAATGGGAATTTTCAATGGCAGTGTTACAAAGTATTCATTTTATTTAGAATGTCCCCGTGTATAGGGGGCATTCTATAGATGTTAGAACTYAGAACCCTGAAAACCCCTGTTCACTTTGATCGGGTGTGCTCCTGATTACTAATAAGCAAGGGCTTCCTGTATATTTTTCCTCTTTACCCTGGCACTAGGAAGCTCAGATTTGAGTTTTATGTTGCYGTTTAAGGTAGAAACATTTTAACTGCATGATACTAAGTTACACTGGTGATCGAGAAAATGACAAGAACAAATTGTAACGAATTCAGAATCCCTTCAATGTGATTCATGGTACACATTCAGATTTTAATCCCCAAGGACAGAAGGTCAATTGTCCCTGCAGGGTCTTGATTCATATTAAACTGTACATCTCTGCGGGTGCCTAGGGATTGATTGAGTGGGATTTAAGATGATATCTCAATGTAGAATCCTTGCTGCTCTGGGGGACCCAGCTTGGTCTATAGGTCCAAGACTCAGATTCCTTCCTTCCCATTGGTAAGAAGCCAGTCACATGGGCACATGTGGCTGCAAAAGGCATCTGGGAAACACAGTCCTCATTCTGGGTGAAACTTCATTTACTTTGAGAGAAAAAATAAAATGGATACTGAGGGAAAATGAAGTCTGAACCATAGTCATGTTGTTGATGGACCTTTATTTTATTTGCTTATTTGTATGTGGTACTGGGAATCGAASCCGGTGCCTCACACGTACGAGGCAAATGCTCTATCACTGAGCTACAACTCCAGCCCCTAGGTGTTTTATTTTAAGAAATGAAACAACAAGACTTTGAAAATAACTTTGTTATATCTTATAATACAGAGGCTGGGCTCTAATTATAACTAATGGGATTTTTTTTGGGGGGGAGGGTTGTACTGGGGATTGAACTCAGGGGTACCTAACCACTGAGCCACATCCCCAGCCCTTTTTTGTATTTTATCTAGAGACGGGGTCTCACTGAATTTCTTAGTGCCTCACCATTGCTGAGGCTGGTCTCAAACTTATGATCCTCCTGCCTCAGCCTCCCCAGTTCCTGGGATTGCGGGTGTGTACCACCACACCCTGGGATGGTTGTTTAAGGAAATGAGTTGGTGAAGTGTCTATTGGGAGGAGTGTAATTAGTCCAACAAATTTAAATGGTAGCACAGTGACATCCTTTCCTCCGTCTTCCGTTTTTACAGTGGATTCAAAGAAGGTCACCTTTGCCAGAGTATTTGAGGGTCTGATCCGTCTTTCCTGGGGCTTCTCTTAATCCTTTGACATTTGAATTTTCCCCAGTGGAGAGCTTATTACCTCATCACCCCTCTCAATAGTCTCCTCTTCACTTATCTCCCAGGCCAGATTATTATTTGTCAGTGGATTTACCTGTGTTTCAAGCTGTCCTCCGGCATCACTTTAATTAATTTCACAAAACCCTGCATCTTTTAAAAGATGAGCAATTTCATCTTGCAATCATCTTGCTTCATGTTTCCCGTGTTTGCGGTAGAGATTGACACGGGATGAAGTGAGGGATGCTAAGTTTAAGCAGGATAAATATCAATTTGTTAATGGATCTTTCTGGATGTGGCTTCCTGTAACTTCAGTGACTTGAATCTTGGAAGGATAAATGACATCCTCCGGTTTTACAGAATGTATGTAGTCACCCCTCATCACATTTCAGCAGGTGACCACCTGCTGCCCTGACTGTACTCATGGGTAGGTCCTCAAATCGAGGTCCTGCAGGATTCTCAGGGTGTGGATACCTCCCTGTTCTTTACAGAGTGGTTGAGAGCAGGCATTTGGCTCCAGTTCAGGTCTGAACTCTGCCACTTCAGGCTCTACAAACTTGGATGCGTTATTTAGCTTCCACGTCTCGGTTACCTCAATCACAGATGATGTTACTTGGCTCAGAGGGTTTTGTGAATTCTTAAGACAGTGACTGGCATGTGGTAAGCACTTGAGAAGTGTCGTGGTGACAGTGACGATTCACACAAGTACCCCAGCATCACACAGACTGCCTCGGCCGTGTTTCGTAAATGTCACAATAATTGCACATGGGGAACGAAACGTGGCAACAAGCCCCACCTCTAGCGACCAGTAAATCGCTTCAGATCAAGCGACAGAAACCTCAACTGCGACTGTTGGGACAAGCTATGGGATTTTTCTTTTCTTTCTCCCTCAACTAAAGAGATTTGGGTGCTTCAGGCAGAATCTGGACCCGAGGTTCAGCGCGTGGTGATCTGGGCTGGGGATGTTACTTGGTGGTAGAGCACGTGCACAGCATGCCTGAGGCCCTCTGTGCAATCCCCTGCATGGCAGAAAAAGGGAAAAAGAAGTGTCGTGACTTCATAGTAAGGCCCAAGGCCTTCCTTGCAAAGCTCTTGGCCGGTGTGTCCAGGAGGAGCCTAGGTCTGGAGACAGTGGCTGGCTCCCGCCCCGGGCCCCTTCCATCACATCCTGCAGGAGCAAGACGYGGCTTTCCCCAGATTGCAGAAGTCGTGAGATTCTGATTGGACCAGCTCCAGTCACGTGCCAGCCTCTGAGCCAATCACCGTGGAGAGCGCCTGGGAGAGCGCATTAGCTGAGCTGCCCGTCCCCGGCTCAGCCCGCGGAGCCGGTTCGCCCCGGGCCCGGGATCCCTGAGCCGAGGGAAGGATGAGGAGGACGGGCCTGCTGGGCTGCCAGTCTCAGGCTGGAGGAAAAGCTCATTTTCTGGTACTTTCTGGCCAATAGGCCAGAGAACCCAGTTACCCCTCCTGGGGGGCGCCGCATTACCATGTGAGCCGGCAGCTCCCAGGTGGTTTCCCCATCCCGGCTTCTGTGGCCAGTGCTGACCTCGGCCCCTCCCCCATGTGTTCTAGAATGTTCCTGGGGAGCCAGGGGAGCACATCCCTCATTACAAGCCTGGGCTTTGCCAGTTGGAGCCTGTTTTCAGATTTGGCCCTGAGCACCCAATTATTTTCACTCTTCTCCTCCCACAGAGCTGGAGTGGGGGGAGGTCAGCTGAGG